ACCTCTGATAGCTGGGCACCAGCCTGCCCTATACAGGAGAGGGAATAGGGCAGGAGCTTTATTAGTAAGAGGAACAATAGCAATGTATGTAAGTTTTCCATGCAGAAATTGGCTGAATGTTTTTTATATGTGAATATAAAAGTGGGTGGAACATAATTATAATACTTCGAAAAGTTTATGATACTTATTTCACTTTTGTGAATTGTTTTCTAAAATAGTACCAGTAATATTTTGTAATAAAAAGTTGGCAGAAACCCAGGACAAAGGTGTGGAATACCAGAAAAAAAAATAGTATTCCCTGCTATGATCAATATGGCCTATAGGTGAACATTACACTCCCAATTCTGCCCTTTTTTACAGTTCAGCTGCAGCAATTTGCCTTGCATATGTGTCTTATCCCACATGAAAGGAAAATATATTTGAAATATATTTTAAAAATATTTTCTCCCAAATATATTGACATGTATTTGAAATACTACAATTTTGGCCATATTCAATATATATATATATATATATATATATATATATATATATATATATATATATATATATATATATATATATACTGCATGTTGAAATGCGTTTTTATTACAAAATAGGTGAAAAATATTTTTAAAAATACATTTCAAATATACTGTATGTCTTTAAAAATACAAATCTACATTTTTGGAATGCATTTACAAATATATGTAAAAATATATGTTAAAATGACTTTTTTATATGTTAAAAAACACTCTGAAGAATATATTTTAAAAAAGTATATCTTTAAAAATATATAATTTTTAAATATATTTTTCAGAGTTTTTTTAACATATAAAAAAGTCATTTTAACATATATTTTTACATATATTTGTAAATGCATTCCAAAAATGTAGATTTGTATGTCTAAAGACATACAGTGTATTGGAAATGTATTTCTAAAAATATTTTTCATATATTTTGTAATAAAAACGCATTTCAACATATAGTATATATATTTATTTTTTTAGATAGATAGATAGATAGATAGATAGATAGATAGATAGATAGATAGATAGATAGATTTTGAAATATATTGAATATGGCCAAAATTGTAGTATTTCAAATATATGGCAATATATTTGGGAAGAATATTTTTAAAAAACATTTCAAATATATTTTTCTTCCATGTGGGTTATATGTGTTACCAATTATCCATATGGAAGGTTCTCTTTGTCACAAACCACACCAAGATGCAGCAAGTATATTTTTCTGTAACTGCACCACAGTAATATAGGCAGATGAGATTATTTGTGCCTATGATGTTCAATAATGTATGAATTATAATAAAATGCAGCAAATCACTTTAATAAGATTATTTTAGAAGGAGTAAAAAATGTGCTTCCTGTTAATCTATTTTGGAAAGGCTGCCCAGCACTTTCAAACATACACAACACCCAGGAATATTTACCAGTTTATGATTAAATTGCAAAATGATCTTCTAGAATCTGGCCTAAATTAAATGTCATAGCATTTATCTCTCATATACCGGAACAGCGAGGGCACTAATTTCCTAGGTGTTCAATCACTGGCCCGGGCCACTTGAGAGGCATCTTGGGAATGAGCCTGTCCACAGTTCAGAAGAATTCTGACAACAGAAGGATGAAATAATAAAAGTCAATTAATCATTAAAGGCTGTTACAAGCACGTATCGAGCTGGTCTGTTCCGAAATGTTAATCAGTCTGAAATCAATATATAAATTCCTGCAAATTGGAGCAATCAATAGCTTTAAAGCCTAATGAATCAATGGGAGGGCACCAGGCTATTCCTCTGGGCCTGTGCTCTGTGGCTGCTACAACACAGCTACCTTCACTAGGCATTCTGCCAAGAGAGGTCACCTATCCCAGCAGGCTGCTCACTTCGGCTGCAGTTACCACGGTGACAGCATGTCACTGTTGCCCTAGTGTCCTTCTAGGGAAGGTGGAAGCCAATGCATCACTGCCTTTGATGGATTTGTCAATAACATTTAGCAGGAGAGGCAAACTGCTCACATAATGCTGGCCGGTGTGGCGTCCCAGAGCACATTGGGGTGATTTAATTGTTTTGAAGGATGTGTGCAGCTGCATACATGAGAAGGCTAAGCAGTGGTCAGACAGAAAGCATGAGTAGGCAGTAACAAGGAGCCTGTTTTCCAGCCTTGGGAAAAACAAAATGGGCTTTTTTTTGGTGTTGCATTAACTAGACGCTTGCGAAAAAGGAAACAGACCTGGCTTCTGGCATTAAAAATCATTTATCTGGCAGCCAAATACATTACTCATAAATAGATTCCGGTTTCTCATTAAACCTTAGGGCTAATTTCAGACAACGTGCATAGCAGAAGCATGCTGCTTTGTCAATACCCGGCATAAAAATCACACTCAAGTCGCAGTTATTTTGTTTTTGTTTTCCTGAAGTCCTCATAAGCAGGAAAGTGGCTCTACTAAATGTGTGTTTGTGTTTCTCTGATTGCTGACTCATATAGCGGAGGATCAATTATCTGTTAAGCCAAGATGTCATTACTGGCATATATACAGTATCTGAGTATAAATTAAGACAGATGAGGTGGGATGGAAGAATTTGTATAGCAGAATAACAGTTGTTTGAATACAAAAATGCTGCCACTGCTGGAAAACATGCTTGCTGTTTGTCTTTAATTAGTTTTAATAAATGTAAAACTCGTACTTAAAGAGACTCCATATGATCATTTAGTCCGTATGCAATATGCTTTTTTAAAAATAAATGTATTTGTAAACTGTGTTGTCTGTATGTATACACAGTTAAAATACATATATGTGAGCCATTTTACCTGCCAAAGGATTTGTAATTTTGTCCAGCCAATCCTGATATTTACACAGCCCTGGCAGACAGCTCAGCTCAGACAGCTGGTGACCTGACTTTTCTCAATTAAGCAATATAGCTTGGCAACCTTTCTGTCTCCAGCTCTGGACTAGACAGTAAGGAACAGTTCACACCAGAATCATACAGGAATGTGGTCCACATCCCGATGCGATTCCTGCACATTCCCCTGCAGTCAGATTTTGCAGCCCATAGGCTGAAAAGAGCGAAGGAAAACACTTTTGAAAAAATGCGCCACACCAAAACGCACAGTACTGGGGTATCAAGAGATCGAGTGCCCACAAACCCTCTCCTTTTGCGATCTGTGTTTGGAGTGCCGTTAACAATGTATTGGCACCATCATCTCAGGCTGTGCACTTTGAACACGGTGCAAGAAATGTGCATGGAACATGCTTTTCCCTCACCACGTTTTGGTGTGAACTGGCTCTGAAGGAGCAAAAGAATACCGAAGAGTATGAATGAACTTCAGTCTTGGGTCTAACATGCATTCAACCCAAACCCAGGTTGTTCACAGTTAGAATGGGTGGAAAAAACTGGACATATTGGGTCAGTTTGCCCTCCTGAACCTGTAAACAAACATCAGTCGGAAGTCTGGTGGTAGCACTGCCAGTGCTAAATGAGAAAAAAAATATCCAGCAACTTTCGTTGGTAAACAAGCCAGCGGGGATCCTTGATAGTGTCATTAACCAAATATGATCACAATGATAGCTAGTCATTGACATTAGCAAGGATCCCAGACAACTTGTTTACATAGAGAAGCAAGTGGAGATCTTTTAATTGTGACAGGAATAGTGGGAGCAGCTTCTGTCTTCTTTAGGTCATCATGGTGGTGGGGCGTCATCATTGTGCAGCACTCATCATGATTGACATGGATCTACATTGCTGGACAACATGCCTGACCAATTTCATGTACTCATTCAGATAGTGGAAAGCCAGACACCTGGGGGCACCCTTGTTCTAAAGGGGGTTTCTGGATTCTGATAAGTTCCCTTCTAGGGACAGAATGTGGGGGTGAGGCTCTTGTCCTCTTGATAAATGCCTCATCACCCCCTTGCAAGGTACTCTCCTAGTGTTAAAGGCATGTGGCCTGGTATGATAGCTACCTTTGGTTGGTTCCTTTGACTCACCTTGGAGACAGGTGTTTTTTATACTTTCCCGTATTACGCTTTCCTTTCAGCAGAGATTATGAAGCACAATAAAATCAATCCAGTACTTTAATGTTCAGAGACTGGAGGGATTTGGGCTGCTGAGGACACAAACAATGAGTATATCTTTTAAGTCTACTTCACATTTGAAAAAGTATTTTTTGTTACCCAAGAGAAGGCACTTTCAGCTCAGACATGCCCTGGCCTGCCAACACAAAACAATCTCCTAATAAGCTACCCAAGATCATGGGTATAGGCAGTGATGTATTTAGGTTTTGTGCTGCCCTAGGCAACACAAAAATCATCTGCCCCCACGGACACTGACCAACACCACCCCCTCCTTCCCCGTCTCGAGGAGAGAGCCTGACATTGACCAACAACACCCCTGCCTCCCATCCAGGAGAGCCTTTGACTAACCCCCCCCCCCCCTCACTTATCTTCACAGCTCCGGACATTCCAGGGAACAAGACTCACGCTCTAAATACACCATCAAGCAGCCCACCGCCTCTCTCGAATCCCACCTGGTTCCCATGGCGCATGTGTCCCTTCTTTTATTCCTTCTTCTGGGGGAAGGTGCTGCCCCCCTGAATAATGCTGCCCTAGGCAAGTGCCTTGTTTGCCTTGTGGTACATACACCCCTGGGTATAGGTGAAAAAATAAACAAAAAAGAACAAAATCACAAAAAAGGGGAGAAGTGTGGCATTAGAGACACTGAAAAGCTATCCATAAAGCTAAGAGGAGAGCCAAGAGAATTCAAGATGTTTGATAACTAAACTGCAGAGGGTCTGGAGTAGTAAGGAATGTGAACAACATTTTGATTTTGCACTTAGATGCTGGCAGGAGCAACAGCTGAATATAAAGGGAAAAAAAGAAACTAATACAACTAGCACATTTAACAATTGGTAAGCTACAATATATTCAATTGTCGGTTTTGTGTTTAGATATGTTTTAAACTTAATATGGATAAAAGAGAGCTTGTGGTTTTTCTACTCTCTTCCCACCAGGGGCGGACTGACCATTTGGAAACTCGGGCACTGCCCGAGGGCCCGGGGTCAGTATGGGGCCCCATGACATGCCCCTAGTACCTTTTTCATAGGCTTTTTTGAGTTTGGGCAAGGACACAGGGGCCCCATGATCCCCTATTGCCGGGGGGCCCCATGAGTTGTCAGTACGCCCCTGCTTCCTACACTCCCCTTCCTAAAATGAAAACTATTTTGGAAAACCTAATAAAACAAAACCTTGGCTACAAAGCTTTTGTGGTAGTATTTGATTCTGTCCTTTGCACTGAATCATATGTTCACTCACTAACCACCTCTTGTTGTCTCCATCTTAAAAAAACATATCTATATCATTCTCACGCATGATTCGACTAGTACTGCCTCATAATATGCTGGCTTGACTTGGATATTATAATAATCCAGTTCATCCCTAAAGTGTAACGGATCCTGCCCCCAGCATCCTTCCTAGTTTTGTACTCGCCTGTCCCCAATCCATTCAGATATCAGCAGTGCAGCTCCTTAGGGTTGCACAGCCACTATAACATTGGAACATTTTATTTACAGTATTACTTCCACTACCCTCCATTGATATATCAAAATATTAAAAACATGCCTTATGATATCTGTTTCCCTTATTTTTCTGCTTGAATGTTTTCTCCAAGAAGACATACCTATACTCAAGTTCATGCAAAAATGTGCCTAGCACTCTCAGTATGGTGCACATACTGACTTTACAAACAAATGGAATTATTTTTCAAAAGAATCCCCTATATATGCCCATCAGTGATCTATTTAATTTTTTTAAAAGCCACCCCCTCCAAATAAAAGTTTAGATGAGGCAGCAGCAGCTCTTCTCATTCCTTTCTCCCACTTTGACATTTGCACAGACTTCTCTTTTGAAGATTGTAGGTTCAGAATACTGGGTTTTGGTTAGCAGTCACACTCCTCGAAGACTCTTCACTAAACTCAGGAACATGTGAAAGAATTAAAGACAGTTGCTTTTGCTATATCCAATCTCCTGTCAGTGATGACCTGCTTTAGCTTTAGCATTAGCTTGGTCAGCGATGGGGGCACAGAGGCAGGGGATTTCAGATTTCAGTCAAGTTGCTTCATGCATATTAAATTCTAATGCCTAAAATCAAAGGCCGTATCCCTGACTGACATTGCCTCGTACTCTTGAATGTAAGATAGGAATGCCTGTTTAATGACACACAAATCATTCCATAAATAATGATGTCTCACTCTGATTAAACCCGTTTTTTAGATTTATTTCCTAAGTAAATTCACATGGATAAGCTATGCAGGACAAAACTGAATCTCTATATGAAAATGGCTAAATCTTTCTAAAGAATAGATTTATAATTCTGGGAAAGTTTTTTAAATAGGGAAAGAAATAATGAAATCAAAATAAATGGTGATGAGAGTTCACCCCTTTATAAATTGGCCAATTATTTATAAACCTACAATGATAAAGGATTAAGTTCACATTTGTAACATATTACATGTTACACCCATATTTAGTTACTATGAGCACCCAACCTCCCTCCCCTCACTCCCCCTGTGACATTGGATGGGGGTTCCTCTCCCAGCACTCACTGTCACATCTCAAAAATAGCATGGCTGTGCTAGACTCTGCCCACACAACTGCATCATTTATTCACAGAGCTCTGTGAATGAATGAACTACAAGACCCATATTTCACTGCAAGTGAACTGAGAGGGCACTGGTGAGAGTCCTCGTAGTTCATTTATTTTTTCTGCACTTCAGTAACTGTCTGCCTGTATGGGGGTACAGCTAGACAGCTGTACTACATGTCTACAGGATCCTGGCATTGTACCCATGATCCACTGATTGCGTGTGCAATGCTGTGCAGGCTTCAGTGTACAATAAATAAATAAATGTGCATTTTTTAGCTGCAAAATCATGTGCATTTATTATTATTTTTTTTTTTTTACAAAAGGTGAATCCTTTAAAAGACACTAAACAATTTTATCTAACTGTAATTCACACTTCATCTATAAAAAGTCACCATGTGACAATCAACCCATGTTCATACAAATATACTGCAACACTGCCTCTTTATTTTAGAGCTGCTAGTAGGGAACGTCACCATGTTCTAAGCCAAACTTATTTCCTGCAAAAAGTCTCCTTTGTTTTAACTCCCCTGGTACAAGCAGCTTATTCAGTGCAAAACCCCATTCAGATCAGCAGAGAGCTCTGTAACTGGTGTATCTGTTACATCTCCGCAAAAATGATGTTTACAGGTTCTATTACACAAACTGTCATCCTTCCACATCAAATAAAACAAATGCTAATTGAAACAGGCTAGTAAAAATGTGTATTATTTCTGAAAGGGTTCTGTAAAAATGGGACTATAAAATAATATAATTACAACTGAAAAACAGTATACAGTAGTAGGGATAAAAGAACTACTCCTCTTTTCTTACTAAATCTGCTCGCTGCAGTAAAGTACTTGCATATGCCAAACAGAGGGATGTATATCATACATACACAACATGTTACAAATACAGATTATTAAAAAATATAGATAATTTATACATCCACAACATCTCCATAGCCATATAATCACTGCATGCTGTGCTAATTACACACCAAATATTGTGCATGTAAATGCTGATTTACTATGGCTTTCTTCACATAGCAGGCACCGAGCACTTAACAGAGGCCTTTCCTAGCAAGGAACAATTTTCCTTGAGATTTCCTTTGAGAAAATTACTGCACATTTATGATGAAGTATTACAATGTATGCTTTCATGATTTGATTGGAAGATCTGTACTTTTATGAGGTTTATATACTACCTGCATTATAGGATTCAATGGAAAATTTACAAAAATATTTTAAAAGTACAGATTTCACTGGGTAATGGAATCCGGTCTTAAAGTGAACCTGTGCTTTGCCAATCTTTTTCTGGGTTCCTCTATTACATGCACTGATTCAAAGTTTTTTTTATTACAGGTACTTTTATAGCACCTTCAATTTATGCAGCGCTTTACATATATATTGCCCATTTACATCAGTCCCTAACCCTCAAGGGGTGTACAATCTAAGGTCCCTAACTTACATTCATACATACACATACTAGAGCCAATTTAGACAGGATCCAATTAACCTACCAGCTTGTCTTTGGAGTGTGGGAGGAAACCAGAATACCTGGAGGAAACCCATGCAGGCACAGGGAGAACATGCAAACTCTAGGGAGGTGGGGCTGTAGTTGGGATTTGAACTAGCAACCCTAGTACTGCCAGGCAGAAGTGCTAACCATTTAGCCACTGTGTTGCTCGGAAAAAAATTTCTCTGCTAAACTGTGCCTAACACTTCTCTATTACACACTGTGCCTTTTCGTTATAGGCATTATCCTCTCTGTAATATGTAGTGTTTCAAAGCTCTCTGTTATTCTCTGTCACATGCAGTACCACTAGTTAAATGCAATGCCTAATACCTCCATTCTTTTTGGTGCCTCATGCCTTTTGGTCTCAGTTACATGTCTCATACCCCTCTACATTAAGTGCTTCATATACAGTGTTTGCATTAATCTCAATGCTTCTGTACTACACACTGGGCCGGACTTTTTCTTAGGCAACATAAGCCATGGCATACAGTACCATAGCCACTAGGGGTGGTATTTAGCCAACTACGTAGTCTAATTCATGCTGAATTGGCCAAATGGAAGTCATACGTGGTCCTGTTGGCAGCACCTGGCTTGGAAATAAATGGGTTGAAAATCACATCACACTAAATTGCACATGAATTGCACAGGAACACAGAGTGTGTTTCTGTTCAGGTCTCGTGCAAACCAGCACTTACTGTGAAGAAGGCAATTAGGGTGGCAGAAGAAAATGGACTGTACTTTATGTTAAGTGTTAAATTAAAGAATGAAGTAAATATGGATGGTTAAAGGGGCAGGGGTTGCACTCAGGGGACATTACAGAGATTAAAGAGGGTCTCACATTTAAACGTATTTAAATATATTTAAATAGAGGATAGGAAAGAAGGAAAGAGTAAAAGAGAGAAAACTAGCTCCTGTTGGGGATCAATGAGGGAGATAGGAGGAAGGAGGAAGGAGAAGATTGAATAGGAGGAGTGGATTATTGATCCTGTCAGATATCGGATACTGGAATCATATTAAAATGAAGAACAAAGCAACAAAAGGAGCTGGGTCAAAGGCCCCCATATCAAGCTCAATTAAGAAATATATCCCTGGGCAGGAAAAAACGGACCCCTGAGAGGCAGAGTGGGATGGAGAACAACAGTGGTGAGAGACCCAGAATATCCCTGGGAATGTCTAATATTAGCCAAAACCTAGAAGAAGCAGATACTGAGAAAATAAATGTCCCGCAGAATTTGGAAGATCAAGAATCACATTTGCCAACTAAATCAGAAATAGCAGAAATGTTTAAAGGTTTGGAAACATCTATAAAAAAAAAGAGATGGTAAAGTTACATAAAGAACTGGGGCAGGTTCTTTCTAGAGTGGAAGAGATGGAAGAAAAAACAAACAAACATACTCAAGTGATACAGACCTTAGAAAATAAAATGGTGGAAATGAAAAAAGAACAAAGAAATCTGTTATATAAATTGGAAGACCAAGAAAATAGGAATAGAAGATGTAATTTAAGGATACGAGGCCTACCAAAGATCTCCGAAGGAGAAGACCTGAGGGAAACGATAGAGAAAATATTTGACACTATAATGGACAGATCTGCAGCAGAACCCTATAAAATCGATGGGGTGTACAGAATCGGAAGATTACTTCAAGAATTGGGAAAAGGAAGATCGAGAGATGTCATTGCTCAATTCCATTATTATCGGGATAAAGAGGAGATCTGGAAAAGGATGAAAGGAAAGGCTGTTGGAGAAACATATGTACAGATCTTTGCTGATCTTGCTGCAGAGACACTCTCAAAAAAGAAATATTTTAAACCATCGATAGAACAAATGAAGAAGCAGAGCATTCGATATAGCTGGGGGTTCCCAGCATGTTTAATCGGGTGGAAAAATGGACGATCTGCAAGATTAAAGTTTCCTGAAGAACTGAGAGACTTCTGTGAGAGACTTGATTTGTAAAATATAGATAGGAGGATGGATTGGGGAGAATGAGAGGTGGCAGGTAGCATGGGAGGGAAGTGGGGGGTGAGGGGGGGTGCGGGGGGTGGGGTGGTG